TTCGATTTGAATACTGTGTAAATTCATAACGGTATATTTAATTCTTCTTGACACAAATTTTACAACTATATTAAACATTTATATCGCAAAATATTTTTTTTTCTTTTTCTCCAAGGATTTTTTTTCTTTTTTTTTTTTCTGTAGAAACATGAAAATATTAAGCCAGCCTAATTAAAAGTATATTACCTAGCAATAAATGTATCCATGTTTCATGAGATGAGTTGAAATAAAATGTATGTATGTAAATATTGTATTCAATGCCTTCAAATATCAAAAGTATGCTGGAAGCCATGGAGAGAGCTTATATAGGCAAAGCCTGTTGCTGTATCCTTTTGTTTAATCAATAAAATATATTTGAAATGAAAAAGTCTACTCTGGAATTGTGGTTTATTATTTTTCACACACAATAAATAGTTAGTACTACAAGGTCATACCCCAATTTGTTTTAATTCAACACTAAACATCAAGTATCTTGTAAGTTGAGCATGGTCCACTGGGTCAAAACATTACCTTATTCATAATGTATATATATACAACGATGGGATGGTGGAATTCTGGATGTTTTCAACTGTATTCAAAGTTTAACTACCCATCCATCGAATAATTCAATTATTTTACCAGCGCTCAATCACCTTTATCAAATCTTGTTGTTTGAATTATTTACTGAAGAGAAAGGTATGCGTATCTGACAAGGTGTAGCGATCAAAGGAGGTGAGACACGGCAAAAAAGTGAACCACAGTTAAGCCAGACTGTGCTTCCTCAGACGGGGCCGATAACGACGTCAAAGTTGAAATTAAAATTTAATTATTAAACCCTAGCATATGTACCATCGCACGATAGGAATCCCATTGTGGTATGTTATGCTATCGAAAATCACCTTATTTAATTATCAATTCAATATAGCATATATTTTCCTATGGGTTAATGGGGTACAACTAATAGATCATTTATTATTCAAAAGTGTATCGTCTGCTTTTTTGTAACCATGCAAGGGCTACAGTTTTTTATTTTGTTGTTGTTGGGTGTTTTTTGTTCAGCACGATGTAAACATTGTTTTTATTGTTTTTCCGTTTACATATACCGGTTAGTAATACAGGGAGAAATGCTTACGTGATTTTGTTATGCTTAGTTGCTACGACGCATACGTACGTACCTCACGTCTCATAGACGGAACACATTTCAAACTGCATTTTAGTGCATATTTTGTTTAAAAGCAAATTATGAAACATACGAATTTAAATTCAATGTTATATGAAGTATTGTGTATTCTTAATTTCTACTTGTTACCCTTTCGTAAAATTATATAAGATACTATAGGCAACTTTCCCCATAACTATGTACAATATATATAAACAAACGGAGAGTGAATCATAATGGAGTGTTTACATGCTTCAATGAAACAGTGTCATAATTGGCTCATCAGTTTAATTTTTTTCTTATCCTGAATGCCAAATTAACATATTTCCCGTTTTGTATAGTTCTGTAACATTGTTTACACTAAATATCTGAACTAGCATGAATACACTAGGTTTTCAATTGGTATATGATGCAATTTAACTTTTCTCTGTAAAGTAAACCTCCGCCTTCGAAAAATCATACAAAATGAAAAAACTATTTCAGTTTCTTCTGAGAATCTATGGTGGCATATTCCTGACACCAGTTATTTTGAGTCGACATAATTATGTCGGCAGATTTATCTCGCTATCATGATAATGATCACGATTAATTGATTAAAATATCATGACAAGTCGTCTAGCGAGATTTTTTTGGAGATATTAACAGGTGGCAGAAATATACCACAATAGGGAAAAACATGCAAACAGTTAAGGTGTTTTTAACGTGGTAGATTTCATTTAATAGATGTTCATGAGTTGGAGTTGATGATGTGTAAAATCCGCACGCTCTTTCTGCATTATTCTCGAGTCAACGGAAATGTGTTTCGAAAGAAAACCATGAATAACTATTAACTGATATTTAACTGATAATACGTTGAATATTTTCTAAAGAATCTATTTGTAAAAGGATATTCTTAAGCAGTGTTTCGTTTAAGAAATCACACGTTAAGGCAGTAAGCAAGTGAGCACCTATGTGAAAATTCAAAAAGTAAAACAAAGTATAAATGTCTATTTATTATTTTATATGTATGAAGTGTGTTCCAACTATATACTGTAAACAACAGCATGTTTACTGACTATTTTTCAAATTTAGAAAAAAAAATCTCCGATTGTGTATTTCTTTTATTCCGTCATTGAGGAACTTTTTGTGTGTTTCTAAGATATTTTAACGTATTTCTGATAGTTGCAGAATTATTTTTGCTAAGTTATCATAATTAGCGGTATTTTATTTTTTAGCAACTTCCGCGTTTTGTTTCGTCCTCTATTTCATTTCCACCGCTGAAATGAGACCATATGACTCAGCCTACCCACACCATGAAATGCAAAATTTCACGGGAGAGCAATTCATTAACATACAAACATGAAAGAAAAGCTTTAATTTGTTTTAAGGTGCTCACACCATTTAATTGGCTAGTCATTCTGTAAGTTGGACGCCCTAATACCCGATGTTCAGCAAGTATATGTTATAATATATCACAGAAAAAGACATTTGCGTTAATTCCTTAACTTGGGTACTGCGAATCCGCAAATTGAAGAGTCCGCTTGTCCGTCTTACCCTCTTCTTCCTGAGAAAAATTGAGTGCGCTACAATGTAAAACAAATACGCTTTCAGTATTTCACGGGATATCATGTAAATGAAATATATTGCAAATACATTATTTAAATGGTTGTAATTGGTTGACTTTAAAAGTAGAGTTTTGATTTTATGAATATCTGTCCAAAACACTCTGGCAGAGCGATGAAATAGTTGTTAACGTGATGATAATCTATCAAAATTGCCTGATTTACCAAATAGAATAATATAACGTCGACTCCATCTAAAAACATCTCAATGGTAAGCAGCGATCGTGAAATTGCTTTACAGTGGTAGGGTGGCGCATAGGATAGCGCACTTGCCTTTCACCAACGCGGCCGGGGTTCGATGCTCCGATAGGACGTGAAAAGGTATGGGGTCACCTGCCCGACCACGTGGGTTTTCCCCGGGTACTCAGGTTTCCTCCTACACTAAGACCCTCCGCGTACAAATATCCTGGCCAACAAGAGTGGTTGATACAAGTTGAAATTAGGTGTTTTAAATTGTTGTAAAATAAATAAAGTTTATTTATATCTACATGTATCTTTACATTCCGTGTTTTTAAGATTTCACAACATTTTTGATGAGATCATGTTTCACTTTAAGACCCCAAAGTCACCCCAAGGACCGTCCTGGGACCCACTCTCTTTGTAATATCATACATCTTCCAGATATTGTCAACTCTTCCGGATACGTTTTGCTGGTGATACTGAAATGTGCAGAGTGATGCGTGGGCTCGAAGTTATAAGACGCTCTCAGAACGGTTATGAAAAGATTTTCCGAATTGAAGACGAATGGTTCTGAGATTCAAAATGACATGGGAGCGTTTATCGACAATGCCCTATCATTTGAAGAGCAAAAAGGTGTAGGTTCAATGTTCACGCCCATTAAACGAACTTTTCAATACTTTAAAAAAAAAAAAAAAAGTTATCATAATTCGTTCAATCTTTAGGTATAAAATTTCACTGGAAATCATCATTCCACTACATAGATAGGCCAACCAAATCAACAAGCATGTTCCTCATCAGAAGTCAAGGTTAAGGTACTTTTACCGTAGGGTATAGTAGAAATATCAAATGAAAATGATATTTGTAGAATCTGTCTTGCACCACTTGTTTTTTTTTTTACCACATGGCACCGGGATAATATTTTATGACGTCAATTGAACAACGCTTATTAAGCTCGGGAAGATATAACCCCACTGTCTCTTAAATGCATTTGTAAACTCCGCAAAAGTTAAATTACCTTAGCAATGAAAAAATAAACGATTCCATTGTAGTATATTAAGAATATCTTTGCACGAATCGGCATATATATCGAAATCGACAATTTTGTTTTATTTTGTAACCGAACCAGTCAAACCTAGGAGCCAGTGTTGACGGAAGGTTTCGTCAAAATCTGTGTGCTGTTCTAAATTGTGTTATTATCAGAACAGCTAAAGAATGGAAAACCTGCATCATAGAAAAAAAATGTTTTTTATCGACAGACTGGATTTGAAAATTGGTCTTTTTATGAATTATTACTGTCAACATATTGAACATTTTTTTATATGATATCAACTTATGAATGATAACACAAGTTGACCACGAAGAAAAAGTAGAAACAACTTGTTATATAAATAACAGACAGAAAAGCAGGCTTAAAATGTTAAAAACAAATGCAAAGAATTACATTCACTTCTCTTTATAATAATCGAAATTTATTCACTTGACTTTTGATTTCAGTTAAATGTGTACATTTTGTATTTGCTTCCCGCTGAACAACGAAGACAGACACAAAGACGTCGTTAGTAGAATGAAAACTTCACTTAACGGCAGCATTAATCGGCTCAAAATATCAAGAAAGTTGTTTTCGTTGTATTCATTCAATTGATAGATAAATAACAACCGATGGCTCGAACCTAATACAAAAAGGCTTGCTCTTAACATTTTTGGATTGTATCAGCATGAATACAGACCTTTGTATAACATGGTCTAAAATTGACTGTAGAACTGTAGAAGGATTCAACAGGTATCTGATAATATTTAGAATGTTGGATTTCAAGTCTTCTTCTTTAGACGTAACATCTAAAATCTTTTTGTCCCATTGCCATTTACAGATTTTTCTTGTTGGTGTTATCATACGCATAGCTATGGAATTATTGATATAGTAAATGGTTATATTTAACCTATTCTACTGACATTAAACAATTAAAGGGATTGGGCACAAGTTGTTACGACTTACTAGGACTTCTCCCAAAAATTGTACATGGAATATTTTAATAATATTTAAAATCTAGCGCTATCATGATGAATTCGTAAGTTTGACGTCACTGCATTGCATATTTAGTTAATTTCTAATATGGAACATCAAGTTTCTTCACTGTGCTAATTTTTCATTAGGGATGATTAAGAACATTGCTTTCTGATATTTCCTTTTATTAACAGATTTGTTAATAAAGAATTGCCTTAGATAATGAATTGAATAAATAAAATCATCTAATTTGTAAATAGTTGTATTGTTAACAAATGCAGTGATCTTTTAACCAAAATGCCAGTCCAGCAGATGAAACCAGTAGTATGTCATGTGATATCCCTCACGAGAATCCATTACAAAACAACCCGGAAGTAGGGATTTCTTAGGGTTTTCAGCTGTTGGTACAAGGTATGATCCGTTCCAGTTAAAGTGACATTCTGGGTGGGAGGCGTCCACAATCACGTGTGATTCGAACATGACATCCAAACTCTATAAAACAAAAAACAATATATGTTAATCAAGTGGCGTCATCACAAAACTATGGTCCTCAGTTAATGGATCCATTTTACAGTGTCATCTCACTGATATCTCAGTCTGGACAGGGTAGCATGAAGGTTTACATTTTGTCAAGAAATTTTAATATCTAACTTTAGTATTCAATTTAAAGGTGGACTGTTTATTATAAATATAATCAATAACTCTTTCATAATTGTTTCTTGTCTTTTCTTTCGTGCTATTTAATTGTTCGATGTTTGATTCCTGACAAAGGACGAATCGCCTGGGAAATTTGACAAATTTCATTGTCTGCACAATCGTTATTACTTCGTTGTTTATATATCAATTTTATGTAATATTGTCACAGACACTTAGACCACAGACGACAATCTCATAAACCAGTTTTTGTGCTGAAGTGTGCATTGCACTTTTGAGTTTTTATTGCGATAAAATGCTTTAGCCTAATTATATAATAGGATAAAAATTAATCGCAAATTCCTGTTCGAAGATGAAAACATACTGTTGACCACAAAATTTGAATTTTACACGTGTTCCTGGATTCGAAATGAGGGAATCATACATTGTGGAGAAAACGCTTGGTCCTCAGTAGCGCCTACTTTTTATTGAGTTAAATGGCTGTTTATGTCTTATCACAATTCTCGAAATCCATGGACCCCGTTCTACATACAAATATATGTTCTGCACCCCTTGAATATGTCATGACAAAATCGAAGGCTCGCGATGAGCTATTTGATTGGTTTCAGGAATAAAACACCAATCAGGAATGAAACCCTGACCAATTACCAGGCTGATACATTTCCTTTTGAAGATTACAAAAGAGTTACACCAATCTTCAAAGCCTGTTGATTGTGCCGTTACGCTGGCGCTTGATTCTTTTCATCGTCATCAAAGACATCAGACTAGTCTACTTGTATCATCCGCAAGATGTCGTGTAAAGAGCTTATATCATGTAATGACATATTCAAAAACGTCTTTACTCTTTTTTCTTTACCCAAATCACAAAAATACAACCACAGTATTAGTATAGTAGAACTTTTTTTCGGACGTTCGTCAAGCGTGAAACAAAAGGAAAGATATAAACCTGTTCTTTGTTTCGTATATTTTACATGCAAATATATTAAGGTACAACGTTGTTAAGCTTGTCGTTAATTTCATTGCAATGACTTTATATTTCTCCTCAATTTGTCTTTTTATTACATTTTTCAAAAGTCGCATTATCTATTATGATTATCAAGGATATAATTCCGTTGAATGAGGAGGACTACGTTGGGGTAGTCGAGAGTTTATTGTTGATGTTGAATACAGGTGGATGTCAGCCTCCTAGGAAAACACTGCACAATCAAAATTTACATTAACAGCTTTGTTTGGAATTCGGTTCATCATTTTAGTGTTGTAGAATTTGGATGAAACGAAGATACACAAATCAATTCAATTAGATACAGTAAAGTTCACCTCAATGTGTATATCGTGACATATGTTCAAAACATTATTACACATAAGTGATTGATGGAAACATTTCGAATCTCGACTTTTAATTGTAATAATTGAGATAAGTTCATGATCGTGTTCCGATTTCGTTCATAGACGTTTCTTTTATTTTATTTTTTAACACCAAAATAAGATACACAGGAATAACTCAACTTTAATTGATTTTAATATATGTTCTTCAGATTTTGTTTTTATATATATATTTTTTAAATCTGGTCTTAAAATCTATTTCGTCTAGTGCCTCCTCAGATTCTGTTCCTGCCTTTTCGTGTAAATGTTTGGTTTTGTCCTCTTTGTTGAAATTGTGTGTGTGGGAAGGGGTGCGTGCATTATTTTGTTTTTTCTTTCAAATGCAATGTGTTCACTACATGAATCAGTCTTTCTTTGTTATAAAATGAAATACTCTTAAAGAGTCATATCATTATAACACACACCATGCAAAAATGATAATAATGTATAATTGTTTTCACAGTAATCAATTCAAATCAAACACAACTTCACAAGGGAATATATCAGCTACTTATCCAATGGAAATTTGGTAGTTGTTCTTATTAAGCTATATCATTTTTAGGGTAGCAGTGTACAGTAGAGGGTTGTGGCCATGGGTGATATTTTTGTTAAGTGGCTAACCCCTGTATAATGATGTGTAAAAAAATATATAAAAATAAAACTGTACTAAAATTGGTATAAGCATGATGAAGTGGGCTATGTGAGCTTCACATTGTTAAAAAAGAAAGAAGATTTTTTTGGTTCGAGAATAAAATTTTGGCCATAATCCGAAAGGGTGCGTACACATGAAAAGCTAGCTTTACAGGAGGTAAAAGTTTGACAACAGCACACGACGCAAAATTGCAAAAAAATAAAGTTTTACAACTTTNGCATTTTTTGGTAATTTTTGATGTGGTAACCATGGTTTTCACACAAGTGACATACATAGAAAAAAGAGGTTTATACACTTCTCAGTACTTTATATGTATTGTAAATGTAATGCAGTTTACAAATATATATACATGTATACATGTGTTGTGTAGGGTAAATCCGCTGTGTTTACATTTCCTCGACATGTGCCTTGTTTATCAGAGTCGGGCCAATTATACTGTACACTGCTACCTAGAAGCACAAAACCTACCATAGCATCTCGTCCATTGCCTGCCTTTACCATTCTGACAGTAATTGCTCCATAGTCACAAGTCCCCACCTCGATCTGGCTAAAGCGTTTCCCTAGAGTCAAGAGTGGAGTTTTTATCGTTTGAATGCACCCGCTGCAATTTAAAAACAAAAGTGCATTAAATATTTATCTATTGGGTAATGGAAATAAGGCCTATGTGCATTGCCGCACAACTCAAGTGAATCAAAAGCTGATAACAGCAAGAATCATTCATGTGAAATGAACCCATCAAAGAAGTATGCAGCGAAAACCTGCTTCACATATATATTGATGTTTTATATAGGATATTGCAAGTTTAACGATATATATTGGCAAATATCTACCTACCTGCACTGAGTAAAGTTAAACATTCTAATCCTAGTGTTTTCCCTACATTTTCTGTATTACAAAATTTGGAGAGGGCTTTGAACTATGTTGACAGTTAGCGATGTTGCACATGAATCAAATGTAATTTTACCGAACCTTCACGGAATACATTTATATAATGGCTCTATAAAAAGACAGAATAAAAAGATGAATTCCCAAATATTACCAATCTATCCATGCGAGTACAACATTTGTTACAGTCACAGCTTATTTACATATCTAGATAGCTCTGTTGGTTCAATTCAAAAGTAGAATCATTGTCCAGTCTTAATAACCTTCGATGCGGGATATAAAAATATGAATATATATTGAACTACTTTCAGTTAGCATTCATAGGAAATATGAATACCGACTTGACAAAGGCAAATTCAATGAAGTACGCTAGCAGTTCAATATTTATATTTACCATTTTTGGATTCTGTTAATCTCATAGAAAATTCAATTACACTTAGTATCATTCAGCATTTAGTTCAAATAATGTATGTGTTGTGTATGCTTGTTCAGTAAATAGAACAGCCATCGCCAAGAAGGGGCTAGTGGTATATAACGTAACAATTATGACGTCATAATAATGATGACGTCAACAGTCGGTGTATGACATTCATAGCCAATATGAATGCCACCATGAGATGGTGAATATATCAATATATTTGATAGCACGTTAATGTAAAAGTAAGCACTTTGATTACCTCGGGTTCCAGGTATCGTTGACGGTAACCAGCAGTGTGAGTTGGCTGATCCCCTCGAGTTTCGTCTGCAACTTATGCAGTTCTTCTGCACTCTTCCATGCATCTGACACACCTGTAAGTATTATTCCAATCAACAACAACAGAACAGCAGACATGTTTTAGTTTCTTGAATCTATTACAAATGGTATGTCCCCGGTAGCCGTTAGTGTGAACTCAACATTTGGTAAGATAAGACATCTCTAACGTTTCTATTTAAATGCGAGTTGATATGAAAAAGGTGTTGTCTTACACAAGACATCATTTTATTTACATGATATTAGAGAGACTACTTAACGCAACTTCAAATTCAAACCATAAGAGACGCATGCAATAATGTGCAATATTTGCAACACGCTATGTTCCTTTCCCATTTGGAAATACAGTTGTGTGACCGCACAACGCACCGAAAATACCGTGCGCACACCGTGCATACATCGTTCACACACCGTCCGCACATCGTTCACGCATGGTGCGCACAACTGGGCGATTTAACAATCGTTCGCCCCGTTGTGCGCTTCTCTCCGCACAACTGTGCGATTTGGTGCACTTTGTTTATCAATATTACGGAATGAAAAAAATACGGAAGGCTCGTGTACAATAATGTACACTGTATATATCACTGTAATTTCTCATCACAATAATTAAGATTATGTACAATTTTACAATGCGTGTAACATAGTAAACAGTGACCGTTAGATTGTCAAGAATGGATTTGGCTCCTAGCTACATGTAGGTAACAGAACAGGTAAATAACAATTTAATGAGTGACCGGAGTTTTACCTGGCCTGTGCCTGACACAAAGAGCTGCTACGTGATACCGTATGACCGTTATGAAAACACAACTGGACGTTTAGTATTTGTTATTTGCATATGTCTTGGTAGATAGCCCCCCTTCACCTGGTTTTCACACCTTGGCGAGTTACGTAAGTGCCTCAAGCGGGGAAAAACTACGGTCCAGGTACAAAGTGGCTATGTTTACCTGTGTTGCCGAGACTGTGTTGTAATTTTTCATGTGTCGATTAAGGTCGTTTAAAACACACCGAAAGCACCATTTCTTAATTTAAGAAGGTATAGACAGAAAGATAAGCTTATAGTTGTAGCTAGAATATGGAAACAACTAAAAAAAATCAAGTTTATATGTTTAAACACGAAACCGTATATACTGTTAAGCCATTCCTCAATTTACACCAACCGCGATTGTTATCACAACGTTAATCGATCGTCCGCACAAATGTGCGCAAACAATGATAGTTCATTTTTTTATTCCTTTGCACTTCGTGCACACATCGTGCGCACACCGCACATCGTGTAACGTTGTGCGATCCCACAACTGTACGTTAATTCACCTTTTAATTTCCTTTTGATTAAATTCGGCACATTGTTGGAAAACTGTTTAGCACTTCTGTGACGTCATCGATGGCAACGGATACTTTTTTTCTCGGCTACGGCAAGTCTGAGACAAAAAAACAAAAGTATACAAAAGTTTAGATGCACCTGATTATTGCATAGTTTGGAAAATAAGTGTAAAACGACATTTCTAAGCTCCAAGCCGAGCTATTACACGGTTCTGGGTGAACGCCGATATCATTTTCTGAAGCATCATGGCGGAGGCAACAGCGATCATTGCGACATAAATAAAACGTAAGGCGGTACCCGGCCTGTGAGGGAGTCCCGTTCCAGAGGCAGTATGGTGGCGAAACAGTCTGAAAATGTACGCCATTTTCTCCTCCTTTGAAAGGAGAGTAATGCTGGTCATATAACATCTGTAACCGATTGGTGACCGAGTCCAACACAAAACGGATCTAATGTAAAAGATACCGGGATAACTACTGTCTGCAACATATCGATATTGGAGACAATGAACACGCAGCACTGAACGCTTCCTTTCACTAATGTGGCTATGTGCACCATGCATGAGTCATAATCGAGAGAAACCTTTTTCTAGGAACTCAAGATTGAGCAAAAAAATGCAGAGATAATGGAAAATTTTAAACACAATGATACGAGAATTGAAGAAAAACATTAGCAACTTTGACGAGTCTACAGTTCGGAGCACAGTCAACGAGGAATTGACAAAAACACCCAAAAGATAGCCGCCTGAGCGCTCCGAGCGGGACCACGCACATTAGTCTCAGACTGTCATCTCAGAAAGCAACGAGAGGAAAAGGAGAGAAAGCAATATGATCGTTTTCAGGATTAATGAACAAGAGCATATAAAGAGAAAAGTCAGGAAGACGTCAGACGCGAAGGAACTTAAGCGTTTGCTGAAAACATGCAAGATTGCATTCAAGGATGATAATGTAATAGATGTTACAAGACTTTGTAAGTTTGAGAAAAAGACAGAAGGCGTGTAAATTAAACAAATACCTATGCTTGCATTATTCGGTACGACAGAAATCAAGAAAAACCTTCTAAAATACATAAGTGAAATACACAAGCAACTCAGGTACAAACTTATCATAATAAACAATGATATCATCAAACAAGAACGATAACAAGAATCAGCGTTGGAAGGAGGCTGGGAAGAGGAGTCAAGAATCAGGGAAATACACATACAACGTCCGACGCCCATCGTGGTCAAGAAGGAAAGTAAAGATTGCCAAAAAACAAAAACAAAACATTGGAGAACCTAGAACAAACCCGAAAGGAAAATCACAAAAAACAGTTTTAAGGAATTTTACTGTATGGTTACAAATGCTGATTTATCAATCCAAGTAAAGTTACAGGAATTCAGACTTCAAGGAAAGGATAATACACCTTTGACAATTCTTGTTCAGAGGGTTAAAACTTGATCATTGGAAAGAAACATAACGCCTTCTAACTACAACCGTGAAGGGTATGATAGTATATATCTTAAAATAATAAAGAACACACCTAGAAGAAGAATGATCAATGAATCTATAACGCGATATATGACAAACCTCCCAAGAGTATATTGTGTGAGGTAAAGCAGATAAACTACGTATAGGTGCAAATAAAGGATTCCAAATAGCACTGCGGGATTCCAAAGTTATGAATTTAAATTTATTGAAACCGCCAAGACTGCTTTCTACACCAACATATGAGGACCCCCACTAGAGGAAGAGAACATGGTACGCCAATAGTATTGGACCTTAGCTTGTCTAATGAGCAAGCGATGGTCAGTGGTATAGATATTCATGCGCGATTAGGTAAAAGTAACCACTCTGTGATAAAATGCAGCCTCAATGTTTATACTACAGCAGAGAAAAAAATGTTAAAAACAAGTGATGTATACGATTGAGGAAAATTGGACCGTATACCTGGTAATAAGAGCTTGAACCACTAACTGGCGACGTAAATTCGCAAAGGCCACATTTTAGAGAAAAGCTTAAAACGGTATTGATATGTAAATCCAAGAACGCTGGTCAAGAACAGTTCCACAAAAGGACAGAAAAACCTTTCCTTAAGTAAAGCGGAAACTATGGCTATGAACAAAATTCCTAAATACAGGGAGCAGTGAAACATACCAAGAATATTATCAAGTACAGAGTCAGGTAATACAAATGCCCAGGAAAGCAACAAAGAAGCACTAGAAGCACACCTCAAACGAATTGCAAAGTCCAATGACAAAATCCCATAGACCATATAACGGATAATATAATAAACAATCTCAAATCTGATTCCAACATTGCCCTAAAATCCTTGGAAACGCTTAAACATCGAAATCCCCAGGCCCAGATAATCTTTAACCGCATGTATCAAAAGAATTAAGTTCCGTCCTAAGAAAACCGTTGTCCATTATATCTAATACTTCTCTAACAACAGGATCGATACCTGAGGATTGGAAGCAAGCAAATCTTACAGCAATTTTCAAAAAAAGAGACAGTACATTAACGAGCATTTATAAACCTATTCACTAAACAGGCATGTGCTGCAAAGTATTGGAAACTATTGTGCCAAAGACAATTACCAACCACATGAACAAAATAAGCTCTTCAGTACAAAGCAATTTGGATTTATTTAAGGATACAATTGATACAAGTGATTGATGACTGGATGGGACTACTTGATGAGGGGAAATACGTTGATGTGTTCTACTGCGACTTTAAGAAGGCTTTTGATAAGGTCCCCCATCACAGACTTGTACATAAAATGAGTATGTATGGATTCACGGGTCATGTTACTAGGTGGAACAACGGGTAGGTGGTAATGGAGATATGTCAGTTTAGAAGGAAGAAAGTGGTGGTATCCCACAGGGGTCTGTCCTTGGACGAGCCCTATTTGTGTTATACATTAACGAACTACCGGAAGAAGCGAGTAAAGGCACAGATACAAAATTCTAGCGGGCAATAGCGAGCATTGCGGACTGTGAGGCTCTACAGAGAGACCTGCTCAAAGCCCAATAATGGAATAACAAGTGGCGTCTACACTTCTACACTTCAGCCCAGACAAATGTATAGCAATAAGAATAGGGAAAACAGAAGGTATTGACTACACTACAGTTGGATGATAGACAGGAACTTCTGTTTACAAATTATGAAACAGACTCAGATGAAGCTATTGATAACAAACATTGATGGAATGCTCATATTTCTGCAAAAAAAAAATGTAAAGCCAATTCAAATATGGGAGTGATTATAAGAACGATGAAATATACAGTAATACATTTTAAGGCTCTATAAAAGGGATTTTTAAGACCTCATCTAAAAGATGGCAATCGAGTTTGGAGCCCGAATCTAATAAAACATACATATGCAATTGAAAACGTCCAGGAAATAGCCACTAAATTAATACAGGGAATTGCAGACATGTCCTTTCAAGAGAGAGACTTTAACTCTTGCAGCTAAAAACATTAGCTGTCAGAGAAGACATCATCAAACATTTTAAAATCATGACAGGAAAATATCATCCTGAGGTAACCATTTTCATTACATGCAATAAGAATAATACAGCAACAACGGGTCAAGAGTTCAAACTATACAAACAGAGAATGCGCCTTAACACAAGGAGAAACTCAATTCACTCAATTCGTCTCAGAACTGTTGACACTTGGAACAGTCTTCCATCTGGCATCAAACTGTTAAATCATTAGAACATTGCCTCGACCATCACTGGAGGAACCAACCGATACGCTACAATTAAAGGGAACCAATGCTAATCCACCTGTAGTTACATATATGATTTGAATATGTATTTAAAAGTTAAGAACACACGCAATGA